ACCTTGACTATTTAAAATAGTGGCTGGGGAAGGAGATTTGTCCAACGTCGGCTTCGAGCCACCAGCATCAGCCTGAATCAAGAGAAAATAAGCCATGATAAAAGGGAACAAAGTACCAATAAATTGGAATTTCAAAGATAAGGCAAGGCATAAAATACCTTGGCACCCTCATCAGCAGGACTAAAATTGTCGCTTTCGAGAAGGACTGTAGCTGGGGTCGACGCACCCTTGGTGGAGGTTTCTGCACCACCTCTGGTGGGTGTAGTCGTTTTTGGGACCTTAGCCGTTGAAGGGTCGGATAGGTTACCAGCAACATCTGACCCTTGGCTGGCTCTCTTCCTCTTCTTCAGTTGTAATTCCTCAGGAGGAGATTCCTCATCATCCTCTGAGTCGATAATAATCTGAGCAAAGACTTTCTTCAGCCTTTTTTGAGGTGTTGGAGGTGGCTTGTGAGACACCTAAGTCATTAAGGAGTATTAGAAACAATCAAGAACAAGATTAATAAAATAAAGAGGCGCATAAAGTACCTTATGGCCTTCAGTCTTTGCTTCAACCCGTGGCTGAGGTGCATTCCTTTTAGGAGCAGTTGCAAAACAAGTAGCATTGCCATAGGTTAGTAATAATAGCGTCCAAGTAAATGAATCTAAGATCGAAGGATGACGACCTTCAAGGATTTCAGATTCGATGCGAACATCTTCGATACCAACGTGAATGTGCCCTTTGAAACTATCGAGCGTATGTTTAGTCGGAACCAACCGCTGGGCCTTCGGTTTCGACTGCTGACGAAAGATTTTTATAGAATTCCCACAGATAAACTAATCTGGAAATAGAGGAGTAAGAGCCACTCCAAAGTCAGCAGTTGGCAATCGAGGAGTCTTTGGGGGAAATAAGGCGAAAGCCACTTCATAACGTTTCTCACGAGGAACGTACGAGGGGATTTTTAAAGTCTCCAGTTTCTTTGAAAATTTTTCCTTCAGCGTGACAGCAGCTTTGTGGATGGTTCGACTAACATCATCTGGTCGATAGGCAGTTTTAAAGTACTTCTGGAAGGTTTGAATCTCTTTGATATGAATGAATATACCTTTCTTGATTTTTTCCTGCACATCAACGAAAGCCTGGTCAATCAAGCGAACAAAGCTTGAAACATCAAGGAATTCTGAAGTATAGTGCCTCGAACACCAGTTATAGAATTCTTGGGTGCAAAGGTAAGAAGGTTCGAATTAAACAGGCGTTAGAAGGGATTTGTGAGCATGTCGAGCTAGATGCGTCAAACTCTCGAGGGTATTGAAGACAGTGTTGGGGAGAATAACATGGGCTTTCTTGTCGTATAGACATTTGGGTAGCGTTTGGACTAAGGCAAACTGTCGAGATACAAGGTTTGGCTGGTAAGCCATCAGAGCTGCCTGACCTCTCAGGAGGTTAAGTTTGTGGGCTATTAGTCGAGGTATTGAGAAACCTTCCCAAAAAAGTTTCGACTATGCTTCATGTTTTTTGAACGCATGAGGAAAAGCCCTAGTGAACCATTCAGAGCCATATTTCCTCTCTGCGAAGGGAGCCATCCGTGGGGTGAACTCATGGCGCTTGGCGAACATCTTGATAAAGCCGGAGATATTCGCCCCAAGTGTTTGACCTTCTTCACTGGGGGTGAGCTTGACCAATCGAGTCTATTCGACTCGTCTCCCTGTTATCTCAGGGTCTTCTTCATCAACTACTCCTTTGTTGGGAAGACTGGTCTTGAATGTAGCGTTGAGTCAAAGCTGAAGTAACCAGAAGGGCCCCGACAGTAAGAGGTTCCCGTTGCTTTCTTGGCTTTTCAGTGTACCAGCGCCTTCTTCGCTCAAAGACTCATATAAACTGGCCAGAATCATCTCACTTAGTCAGATACCTCGATTTAAGTGTAGTTGGTTGGCCAAAGTGAGGTATTTCCTCGCCACCTGCAGAGACTTTGTACAGAAGACACAACAAGAGAGCCACATAGCTAGAAATGCTATGTGTTCCTGATCTTCGAGGTTTCTGTTTGCTTGTTATGGTAATGATTGATGAAATGGGTGTATGTATGCTTGGTGGTCGAAAACCCTATGGTGTCTTGACAATCCACCTCAGGATCGTAAACCAACCCATGAGGTTTGAGCCCTGTGATAGCGGCTAGGTCGAATAATGTGGGTGTCATCATCCCACAAGGAAGATGAAAAGTGTAATGGGTGCTATCCCAGAAGTACAATGAAGATGCCAGCATAATGGGGCAATAGGTAGGACCTGCTTTCGACATCATGATTAAGTCGTAAATTTCGGTTCTCTTCCAAGCGTCAGCTTTGACCTTTTCCACTTTGGTCAGCCAGTTCAGGTAAAGATCAGAGTCTTTGAAATAAGGGGTAGCTCTAAATAACCTGGATCCATCATTTAGGTACTTGAGGTCCACATTGTGTAAAGCAAGGCTATCAGGGCCTTTAGTGGGTACTTTGGTAGGATCTTTTTACCCTAGAGGTTTGGTTTTGCGATAAGGAAAAAAGTCACTAAGGGTTGAATAATTGGTTCCTAAGGGAGACAGAGGGTCAGCCAAAGCTAAGGACTTACCTGCAACAGTGATAAGAATTATTACCTGCGATTCATAAATATGCCTATTTTCTTCTATAAGAGGTTCAGGGATAAATTGTTGGTTCTTCACCATCTTAGGCCCACTAAGTGTGGTGAAAGGAGGAAGTAGTAAGTGTGGTGAAAGGAGGAAGTAGTGACGCAGCTTGTAGTCCTTTGGCTTGAGGATTTTTCTTCTGATCTTTGGTGGTAGCAGTAGAAGACGCCATTGATGAAGTTTTGGTAAAAATTGGTTTGTTGAAGAAAGACTGAGAGTTGTTTTGGAAGAGGTGCGTAAGTGATTGCTAGAGTGAAAAAGTTTAAAATAATTTCTGGTGAAATTATTTATAAGGGCTAAGAGTAGTGGGACACGCGGCATCCCAGGATTGAAAATGGGGGCGGTGGCAGTTATTGCTTAGCCCACGATTTCATAGGTCCTAAAAAAGTGATGATGATCTGAGATTTTGTGGGATTTTCAAGAAATTGTTCATAATAGGCCATGACGTCATGGACGTGCGTAAAAAGTAGCCGAACAGTTTTGTTTTCTTTCCAAAGTCATGGGTAGTCAGTTGCATTGACATTTATGTGGAGGTTGAAAAATGGCGTCGAATTGGATGCTGTAAAAAAAGTCTTTTTTCTTCAACATGGTCGAAAAAGACATTTTTGGGGGGCAATTTGTTAGCTCACAAATTCGACGCCCATACTAAATTAAAATGTTTGGATGAAATATTAAACTCTTGAAGAAGTATGAAAAATCTTCGAGTGAAGAGACCTTCGAGTAGGCTGGGTTATTTAAGTATTTGAGACTTAAAAAATATTTCCAAATATTAAACATGCCACCTTCGACCGAGGCTGCTGGCCAAATATTAGTGGAATTTTGAAATTTAAATAAAGGAGGGAGTAGTTATGCTTTCTCATGACTAAACAAGACAAGTGGCGCACATCCAGCAAGTGACTACATGCGACGTGACACATGTTATAAGGCTGGTCATTTTAGGAGGTTAATGACAGTTAATTTTACTATTATAAATAAGGGTTCTAGCAATAGAATTCAGTGTGTTGTAATTTACTATTGTAGAAGTCACTTCCAAAATTACTCAAAGTATCCGAGTGTAGAGAAACGAGTTCTAGGAGAATGTACGTCATGTAAACACACCATCTTTACGTTCAATGAAACTTATTTTATTTTGCTTAATCTTAAAGAGTTTTATCTTTACTTCCTTGCAATTTACATTTTCTTGCATTCTGCTTTACTTTGTTTAAATGTTTTAAAGGCTCCTTACTTTGTTTCTTACAAATTCACGACCTTTCATTTCAGTCGAACCTTACCTTTACATTAATTTTTTCTTTAAAAACACTGTCGAAGTGTTCAGTTTTAGGTAATTTTTTTTCAAGTAGAATTTAGCACATGTCCTAGGATCAATCTGATCGATCCTGTGAGTCATCAAAGTTAGATTTGGAAGATCGACTGTTGTTTTCCAATTTTCAAAAAAAACACGGGTCAGTTCTGGGCTGGGGTCCAATACGGGTCAAAATAAAAAATGAATCGTTGGGATCTCACGTTCCCACGGTCTACGCTTTTCCTCTACGCTTTCACCGCTCCAACTAATTTCACAATCTTTCTGCCACTGAAGTGGTGGATGGTTGCCGGCACGTAAGATCGTACGCTTTTGGGAGTTAAAGTGCGATCCTAACAACCATGGTTGGGACATAGTTTTGGTGTGATGGTAAAGACACAGGTTCTGTTACCCTGATTGGATACAATTTTTCACTGTTTGTTTCTGTTTTAATGCCAATTGCAGCATGAAAAATTGTATAGCCACCTTAGGCAATTTAACAGATATTTTAAGCGTTAGTATGCAAGAATCTAATCTAATTACAAAAATTTTAATCTTTAAGGTAAAAGTGTGAGCAAGATAAACTGATTGTTGTATTAAAAGGCTTTAACCCCAGATGAAACATTTTCATGAAGTTGGTATTTGGGATGTAAATAATTTGAGATATCTATATACTATGAGGGTAGTGTTGTATCATTTTTAAGGTAGCTTTAATAATTATGATGTAAATAATTTTGGATGTCAATAATTTGAGCTATCTTTATACTATGAGGGTAGTTTTGTATCATTTTTAAGGTAGCTTTAATAATTATGATGTAAATAATTTTGGATGTCAATAATTTGAGCTATCTTTATACTATGAGGGTAGTTTTGTATCATTTTTAAGGTAGCTCATTTAATTATTATGATGTAAATAATTTGGGATGTAAATAATTTGAGCTATCTATATACTATGAGGGTAGTGTTGTATCATTTTTAAGGTAGCTCATTTAATAATTATGATGTAAATAATTTGAGCTATCTATACACTATAAGGGCAGTGTTGTATCATTTTTAAGGTAGCTCATTTAATAATTATGACTTTACAAGCAGTTATGAGAAGCAATATATGGAAGCACTGAGAGAAGCAGCAAAGCAGAGTGAAGATCCAAAGGTAGAGCAAACTGATGTTGGTGAAGGAAGTGGAAAGGCCGAAGTAACAGGGAAGCTTCTAAAGAGTAAATCTTCTAATGCATCCTCTATTGAGCAAGACTTGGATACATTTCTTCTTGGAGATCTTGAAGACAGTGATGGAGCTCCAGGTATTTTATTGAAAAGTTTGTTAAGATATAAATTTGCAGTTTAACATTGCTTTTTGAATTCTGTTTATAGGATCAGTAAATGAAATTATACACATAATGTAGGGATTTGTATGTGCACAAGCATGAATGCTTACCATCCTTAAGATTTCAGAGAATTAACTTGATTTTGAAATCTTTGGGCAGACATAGCCTTTGATGGTTATAACTAAGATTTGTCTGTCATACCATGATCTTCAGACACCATGATCTTGCATTGTTATTCTATTTTTAATGATTATCTTTCAGATGATGGTGAGGGAAGCTTTGATGATGATTTTGACAAGATTGGCAATTCTGTAAGTGCTTTTCAATTGTTAGAGAGCTATTTTACTTGGTCTAGCATTCTTTAGTTGTCTCAATATTGTTAGAGAGCAGACAAATAGGATGTTCCCTATAAAAACTGATTTTGTTATTAGTAAATAGAATCATTGTTGGTCTTTAGATTTTGGGTCTAACTCGCACTATCAAATCAGCTTATAAGGCAAGGTTGCCTAAGCTTTATAACTGCTGTATATCCTGTAATGGCTGAAGCTTTTGGACTTGGTGCATGTTAATATTGGTGGATACTAAACCTAGTATAGACTCTAATACTATCTAAAGATTTTGGATCTTAATTCAATCAGACAAGATCGGTTTGTAAGATGATGATTGTTTAAGTTTATTAGATCTATACGCAATATGTTTCACTAATAGGAGAATTGAGGTTTATCTCAATAATTGAGATAACATATATAAAGAGGGAAAAAAAGAGAGAACTAGGGAGTAAGTCTATTACCAAATGAGAAGCATAAAAATTTAACAGGATTCTCAAGACAGCGTGAAATGTTGAGGAGTTTTATTTTTTGTTGGTATTATATATATCGCCTTCCTCAGCATTTTATAGTGAACTTTTGCTGTTGGCAGTTTTTTTTTGGGTAAGATAATTTGTATTTATCATGTTACGGGATCTTTCAGGATGTTGAAGATGAGAAGCATGAAAAGAGAACATCTGCAGCAACAGTTTAGGATGCAGAATTACTCTGTTTTAGACACAAGTGAAGTTTGCTGCTTGCAACTAGCCGTGATATCTGTCAGAGACGAATGGTTTTGTAGTAGTCTCGAGTTTTAGATCGGTGGCTGTGGCACTCTTGTAGGTTTGGCGAACTGGTGGAGAATGCTTGTGATTCGTTATTTGTGGACAATAGTACCCTATACAGTTAGGTAAGAAGTTATTGATTGACCCGAGCAGTTTCCTTGTACAGTTGACATATTTGATGTTATTAAATTCTTATATCATGTTTTTTTCATAACATAACACCAGCGTAATATGATTCCTCAGTTTATTACAATTTCAAAAGTGATGGTATTTAAGTAATTTTCTATTTTATTTATTTATTTTCTGTGCGCAAACATTCGCCTTGTTTCCTTTGTATTACTGGGCCAGATAAAAACAGCGAGCTTTTGAAGGCACGGTTGTTTTAGTTTTTTAAAAAAAAAAAATTTCGTAGGATTTTTAAAAATGGATTTTATAAATTTTTTTTAAAAAAATATTATAAGTTTTTTTATATTTGTTTTTTCTAAATTGAAAGATTAATTGACATTCTGTTATTAGAACTTTGAACCACAAGATTAGTGAATAATGGTAGAGAAAATTGAATGTGGAGAGTGAAAGAGGAAAATTGAAAGAGAGATAATTGTGTGAGAAGTGAATACTGCATTAATAAAAGATGAAAATGTCTTCAAGACATTTATACAAGTGTTATAAAATAATTGAGACCAAAAATACATCAACAAGATACAAGAAAAAGTAAAACTTCGAGGCGGTAACCTATTAACACAAACTTTTAATTAGTTAAAAGCAAAATTTCGAGGCGGTAACCTATTAACACAAACTATTAATTGGTTACGATTGACAACATTAAAATCTATACAATCAGATGTAACTGGTTAACATATTTGTTTATTCAGTTAACACATTTAGTTAAGCGGTTAATGCAACTCTAGAACCTGCTTTTCCTTTGTCCAAAAGTGTTTTTCTTTCAACTGTAATTGATTACACTCTCGTTTTAATCGGTTATAGCAACTGAATCATTTGATTTTTATTCAACACACCACTTTAATTCAAGTGCTCCAAATATTTCATGCCTATGCTCATCCTCAATCTCTTGAACACATCTTTTGAGACTCTTAGTCAACAAATCAACAACTTGGTCTTCACTTCTAGAATATTTCAATCTTAACTTGTCTTCATTAACAAGTTTCCTCAAGTAATGAAACCTCATCTCAATGTGCTTGCTCCTCCATGTGAAATTGAGTTTTTAGCAAGATTAACTGCAGAAACGTTACCAACTAGGAGTTTAATCGCCTCACCCTCACTGCTGCCTAACTCCTCCAATAGATTCATAAGCCACACAACTTAAAACGCACATAACAAAACAACAATGTACTCGGTCTCACAAGATGTAAGCGACAATGTACTCCTCCTTATTTGGTTGAACACTTCATTTGCTACGAACTTGATTTCTTAAGTGATTTAATTAATGATTAAATACTAAATTAACAAGAAAATCAAATAAGCAATTGTTAGCGAAATAATCAGAGCTTTTTGAGTTTATTTTTCTACCAAGTGTTTTACCCTAAAACCTCATACTCTTTTGAGGAATTTCTCCCTTCTTTCAAAGATAAACATTAGTATTTTTCTTTCTGCATTGCTCCAAATCGTTTGATACGAGAGTTGATCTTTGAAGAAATTTTTTCTCCTTGGATATCTATTGAGGAATTTATTAATAAACTTTTTGTTGAACTTATTCCAAATAGTTACTTAAACATTGAATCAAATTTCTTAGAGGAATTTTGAAACTCATTCTTTTCACAACTTATCTTGATTTTCATTTTAATCATTGAAGCTGCAAAGCATTCTTGCAAAACAACCAGGTTTTTACATTTTGTACCAAAATATTTTTTGGTCCTTTAGGGTTAATAGATTTAAGACGTCATAGTTGGTAATTGATTAAAACTCTTTTTAAAATGATAACCCTAATTCAAAAAGGAAATCCTAAAACAACTATATGCATTAATAGAGTAAAATATATTATATCCATTAAGATGTCATTTATCTTGATCTAATCGATTGTACCAAGCCTTTAATTGATTAGGCAGTGTAAAAACTTTTCCAAGTGATAAAAAATATTCTTTATTCTATTCCACATAAGCCAAGATATGTTTTCAAGATATTTATGCAATAAGAGAGGGTTAACAAGTTTTCTTTTTTTGTGTGTGTGTGTTTGATTGCCATAGTATGTCAATACTTACTCTTGACTTTTTATATTTTAACTGATCACTCAAAGAAGCGATGTGGGAGATCAGAAGAGCTTCCAAGTTCCCTTTCTAGATACATTAATGATTTCACACTTAAATTGGAGCTTATTGATGTTTGAGATATATTCTTGATCAAGTGATATCATCAGAAACTTTACTTTGACAGTTGGAATTAACTTCATCCGCCACATAGAACTCTCAACATCCACAAGTCGTTTGACCTATGGAGGTCTTATTTTCAAAGTTTTTGCTTTATCATTTCTCATCATCAAAACCAACTTATGGTCATGACTTCAAGCTCATAGATCAAAATCCTCTTTATTTTTTATGATGACTACACATCTCTCAGAGAGGTGGAAAACAAAAAATGGTAGTTAAAGATTTAGAGTGATTAACTTGTCCCTCATAGATAAAAAAAGTAGTCTCTACTCCTTTGTGAGTATGCTATTCCCCCCTTTACATAGTCAAACAGGCAGGAAATACCTAAACACATAGCTCACCATAAAAAGGTGGGAAACATTTTAACAACAAACAAAATTGCAATTAAAATGGAAAAAATAGTTGATTACAATAAAAGCCAATAAAAGCGCGTGGAAGAAAAAACTAAAGCAGGACATACAAGCATAAATTAAAGACAACTACTTGTTCTCATTATTATCATAAACACAAGGCATTTCATTTTTGACAACATGCTTTTTTAAAGCGCCAACTTGCTTGGTCAATCTTCGAAGTGTTGTGGAGTTCTCTTGAGAGTTTGAAAGGGTGAAGGATAACGTTTCTTCAGCAAATGGATCTTGAAGAAAATATTGATCATTATTTTCTACATTTTCCTCATACTTTAATTCTTCATTAAAAAATCCAATCATTATCTCTTTTAAAGAGTCGTTCCCAATTTTATCAGAATCATGCTTAGAGATTTCTCCTTCCAAGTTAGCACCGTCATCAAACAAGATTTGGTGATCAAATGTCCATATGCTAACCTTGTTGAATTATTGCTTTTGCACTTAATTATGTGGCACATTATACCATATGCCTAGTTAGTTAGAATTTTCTAAGTCAGTATGAGTGCACTATCCTCTTAAGAAATGTCTTGAACGGTGTCAAAACTAGGACACTTAATATTTGTGTACATTGGACCTTATTGTCTATGTCTATATGTGCATTATCATATTAGGGCACTTAAAATCAGGTTAGATAGGCCAATACAAGTCAAAATTTTGATTTTTCATTAAAAACAAGTCTATGGGTCAATACATACTAAAGGATTCTTAAAATAAAAACAATGTCTTCAATGTATCGATACATATGGGCCTTGGGTTGATACATAATACGTATGAGTCGACTCCAGCTGAAGGTTTTGGCAAGCCAACTACTCTGCCTTAATTGTATCAACTCCTAAATCCTTTGTATCGACTCCCAGCCTTATGTATTGACTCATACTTGTTTGGAGTCAATACATTCTGTTCTATTTTACAAAACTTATAATGTTTTGCTAAAAATCTATTTTGCTTGTTGTTGCACCATAAAATTTGCCCTATCTTTTTTCTAACCTTGACTGCCTTTTGTTTCGCACTCATCTGGATCTTCACTAGGTCATACTTCATAATCATACGTTGCATTGGTCTTCTAAGACATGAGATCATAATTTTATTTGAATCAGATCATCAAGTATCCAACTTACTTTCTTCAAGAGATGTAAGACATCAAGAGCCTAGGGTTTCATATTTCCTTTGATTCAAGCTGGTTGGCTGGTGCAAGGGATCGAGTTTATCAGGGATAACAGTAGGGCTTCAAGACATGTGTGGTTATTCAGTTACAATTAAGACCAGACAGAAGTTTGATCTAATCTTGGTCAAACCATCAAGATATTGCTTCTATTTCAAGTTACCTGCATCAGTGGCTATTTCTCAAGCAAAGTGTATTCGAGGCAATCTTGTTCTATGCAGAGGTTATAAGGTTATCAAGCATTGGTTCTTGAAGAGTTTGGTTTCAAAAGTCAGGATCCTCGTGATCATAGGTTCAGTGGTGGTTCATCTGTGGGTTTATGTTCCTCAATGTGGATTCAATAGTCAACGCAAGGATTCAAATTGATTCAGATGGTTGTTGAGAGTTATTCATAGTAGCTGTGTTCATTTAATCTGAGATTTGCTAATGAAGGAAAGATTGAGCTTGAGTTGAAAGTGAAGGCTTCATGGATGTGTTGATGGAGAATACCAATGTAAAGGAAATTTATATTTCTAAACCATTTTCTCATTTAATTTCACCCATTATCCATATATTCAATTCATGTCCAAATTCAACTAACCATTCTTCAAATCCACCTGTCAATTTAATTCATTTTTATAGATACACTTTTAATGTCCATTTCTATTTTCAGTCATCCATCATTCAAAATCCGAATAAATCCATAGATCATTTTTCTAACTCCATTTTTATCTACGAACCACTTTTCAACGCATATTCAAAAATCCATTTCCTAATTTATTCTTTTGAATCCATATTCATTTTTAAACCAATTTCAAATGTCCATTTTTCATCTAAATCCATTTGTTCAAGTCATTAACCATATCCAAAGATATCCATTTTTATCCACATTTTAAAATCCCATCCATGACCATATCTATAAGTTCAAAAAATTTCCAAATTCTAATATTTCACTTGGATTTGAAGTAAGGGATACAAGTAAGATAAAAAAAGAAAAAATGCTA